GTCCCTGATGCCCCCCCACGTCCCCGATGTCCCCCAATGTCCCCCCAGGAGGTTGACATCGGGCTGGCGGCCGACGTGGGGACCCTCCAGCGCCTCCCCAAAATCGTGGGGAGCCAGAGGTGGGTGAGGGGGCTGTGGGAGGGGTCCTGGGGGGTGGGGGGTGATGGGGGACCCCCCGTGACCCCCCATGACCCCCCGGTGTCCCCCCTGCCCCCAGCCTGGTGAACGAGCTGGCCTTCACTGCCCGCAGGATGTTGGCGTCCGAGGCCCTGAGCTGCGGCCTCGTCAGGTGGGGGGGGACCCCAAAACCCAGGGGTGGGGGCCCCAAAATCGGGGAGGGGGCACTGAGGGTCCCCCGGGGGTCACCACCATCCCCCCGTGGCTGGGGGAGGTCCCCAGAATTCGGGGGGGAGGCACTGAGGGGGGCCTGGTCAGGTGAGGGGGTTCCCAAGATCAGGAAGGTCCCCAAAATTGGGGGGAGGGTCCCCACCCTAAAAACTAGGAGGGGGGGTACTGAGGGTCCCCTGGGGGTCCCATGGGGGGAGCGGGGGGGCTTTTGGGGTGCTGGGGTGGGTTTTGGGGTGACCATGGCCAGGGTGGGTTTGGAGGTGCTGGGGTTGGTTTGGGGGGTCCCTGGAGGGGTTGGGGGTCCCTGGGAGGGGTTTTGGGGTGCTGGGGTGTATTTTTGGGGTGCTGGGGTGTATTTTGGGGTGCTGGGGAGGATTTTGAGGGTGCTGGGGTGTATTTTGGGGTGACCCCGTGCCCCCCCAGCCGGGTGCTGCCCGACAAGGCCACACTGCTGGAGGTGGCCCTGGGGGTGGCCGTGGCCAGGGGGGGTTTGGGGGTCCCAGGGTGGGTTTGGGGGTCCCTGGGGGGGTTTGGGGGTCCCTGGGGGTGTATTTTGGGGTAACCCCGTGCCCCCCCAGCCGGGTGCTGCCCGACAAGGCCACGCTGCTGGAGGTGGCCCTGGGGGTGGCCGTGGCCATCGCCGCCCGCAGCCCCGTGGCCGTGCAGGGCACCAAGATCAACCTCATCTACTCGAGGGACCGACCCACCCCCGAGGGGCTGCAGCACATGGTGGGTGCTGGGGGGAGGGGGCAAAGGCCGGGACACTCCCCAAATATGGGACACACCCCCAAAATCTGGGACACACCCCCGAAATCCAGGACAG